ACAGATCTTTAACTGGCATAATAATGTGTACTGTATTCTTTTTTTATAGTGTGTATTATGCAGATTTAAAGACTAAAAAGACCTGTGCATCGTTTCGATTTTAATTTCCTGTATTACCGGGCCTCTGGAGAGAATATACCAGCAAATTAAGCTCCTCTTCAACAATTTTATACAGACTATTTAGAGGAGCCCCGGTGGCACAGTGCTGAGCCCAAAGCTGGTGGTTTGCACTCAGAAGCCAGTTTCTCCACTGGGGGGAGAAAGAAGACCTCGATCCTTGGGAACACCATGGGACCGTTTCCTACAGCGTCCCTCACTATGAGCTGAGTGGACTCCTGTCATCAGGGCAGCTGGTGTTCGTGACACGTATTAACCAGTGATCCTGGTTGTAATTTTTTCCCCCTTTTCTTCTACATCCACACAGTCTTGCTCAAAATTTCTGCTTGGGTTTATGCCGTGAGCGCCAAGCTGTGTACAGACGCTGTTGTTGTCTTGAAGAGTCTTTTAAAGCAGAAAACGCCCAGGTTGTGCTTGCCCCGGTGAAAAGGCTGCCGCCACGATCGTACCAGATCATGCACTGCAGACTTTCAGCTGTTTTCACGAATGCTGGACGGTCAGCAAGGCTGGAACTATTTAGCAGCTTCACGAATTTTCGATAACTGCCTTTTAAGCACTCAAAGTTGCTTTTAAGAAACAGGGTGTGGAGAGGCTGGGTCACGATCACCTTAATTTCCCTTCTGCAGGCTTCCGAGGACTTCAGATCTCAGCTCGTTATACTGACTGTGCGGCTTCAATGCGAGCTCCACTCTCGGCTTTATGATCAGATCCATCCATCCTTGATGGTGCTGTTACCAGTCTCGTTCTTTCCGTTTTTGTTACTGTTACCTTGGGAAATGATTTCCTCTAGAATAACAAGAAGATATAAAACCTTCTTGGACTGGCAGGTCAGTAGGTACAGGTCAACCAGCAGAAAACACGCAGCGCAGGCAAATTTTCCTCCCACCAGGTCTCTGGATCAAGTTTCTTGCCCACGCACATGGCTTCTGTATACTGCTGAGGATGATAAAGTGTGACTGTCTAGTGTAATGCAACACGCGGTTTCCAACATCGTCCAACCCATCCACCCATCCAACAGCTGAGTGGGCCTGATTCTTCAGTTGGTTAAGTGTCGGTCTTAAATTATCTGTTGTTTCCTTTTTTTTTGGGTTGGTTTTTTTTAAAATTTTTTTCTTGTAATTTTTAATTTTAATAAACATTTACAGAGATTTTGGGTTTTCATTCATTCATTGTTGCACTGTTTTCTATTGATTACTTTTTAAAATAAAATTTCTCATTTTAATGATGTTTGATTACTATTTAAAAAACTCAGCTACTGCTGAATTTAAAATTCTATATAATCATCTTTATTTTTATCTTGTAGGCTGATAAGGTGTTGTTAACAGGTACTGTAATTTCCAGTTGTGAAAAGTTATAAAGTGCAGCTGGACAACTTCTGATCAGACTGACCTGTTCCTTCATGCCTCTCTGCTCCTTGATCAGGATGTTGTTGTTGTTACGTGCCATCCTGTCACCTGTGACTCAAAGCGACCCTACATACAGCAGCTCTGAAGCCTGCCCTAGTCTGAGCCAGTCTCAATGACTGCGATATACCTTCCCCCACTGCCCCAGTTACCATGTCAATCCATCTCTTCTGTTCCTCTCCTGTGCTGTCCCTCCACCCTTCCAAGGATGATGTCCTTCTCCAAGGACTGGTCCCTGCTAGCCACATGCTCAAAGTATGTGAGACAGAGCTTCAAAATCCTTGCCTCAAGGAGAAACTTGGTCTCACCCTCTCAGAGACAGACCTATTTGTTCTCCTGGTGTCCACAGTATGCTCAGTACTCTATCATCTCAACACAAGCTCATTAATATCATAGCACAAAGGCACTGACTCTTGTTCTGTCATTCTTAGTCACTCTCTAGCTCTCAAATACAAGTAAATGCAAAGACCAGAGCTTGGATTAGGTGCACCTTAGTCTTTAGACTGACATCACTGCTCTTTAGCACTTTGGAGTCCCTGACAGCAGACTTCCCTAATGCAATTTGTCTTTTGATTTCCTGACTGCTGGTGCCAGGAGTACTGAACTGTGGAGCCAAGCAAGCTGAAATTGTTAACAACCTCAATCTCTTCTCCATCTATCCATCCATCATGGTGCTGCCAACTGGGCCAGTGATGAGAATCTTTAATCCATATTGAAAACTACAGTCCTTGACTTTCCGCAGCAAATGCTTCAGGTCCTCAGTTTTGGCAAGCCCGGTTGTGTCATCTGTATAATGCAGATGTTGATGAGTTTTTCTTCAATCCTGATGCCACACTCCTCCTCCTTGTAAAGTCCAGCATCCCAGATGATCTGTTCCACATAAAGACTGAAAAGGTATGGTGATGACAGGATGCAACCCTCACACACGCCCTTCCTAATTCTGAACCACACAGTGCTTCCTTGCTCTGATGATTGCCTCCTGGTCCAAGAATAGGTTTCACAGGAGCACAAACCTTGATCAGTATATATTCTATAAATTAAAACATCCATTGCAAAAATGTGATTCCTGTAGGCAAATGTGCTTGCATATCCTTTTAACTTTTAGCCTCACAGCTTTGTTGTTGTTGTTATGTGCCGTCGAGTCGTTTGCAACTCATAGCGACCCTATGTACAACAGCCCTAAACCCTGCTCTGTCCTGTGCCAATCTCATTGCCTCTGACACACCCATCCCGATTATCCCAGTCACTGAATCAATCCACCTCATAGAGGGTCTTCCCCTCCTGCGCTGTCCCTCTACTCTACCCAGCATGATGTCCCTCTCTAAAGACCTGTCTCTCCTTACAACATGTCCAAAGTATGTCAGATGAAGCCCCAGAATCCTTGCCTCCAAGGAGCAGCCTGGTTTAACCCTCTTCAGGATGAATCTGTTTATTTTCTTGGCTGTCCATGGTACATTCAATACTCTTCTCCAGCACCACAGCTCAAAGGCGTCAATTCTCCTTCTATCCTCCCTAGTCATTGTCTAACTCTCTGATGCATAACAAGTGATTGCAAAAACCATGGCCTGTATCAGGCGGACCTTAGTCTCCAGAGAGACACTGTTGCTCTTGAGTATTTTGGAGAGGTCCCTAACCGCAGACTTTCCCATCGCAATACGTTTTTTGATTTCCTGGCTACTGGTGCCAAGAGTGTTCACCGTGGAGCCGAGCAAACTGAAGCTGTGAACAATCTCAATCTCTTCGCCATCCATCCTGATGTTACCGATTGGTCCAGTGGTGAGAATCCTTGACCTTCCCACAGCTTTAGGTCAGTATAAAAAAATCTCTTGTCCTTCCAAATAATACAGTCTCCCCAAGTCCCGCAGCAAGCTTGGGTGAAGGTCTTTGGCCCTGGCTCTGGGACAGCAGTCCCAGGCACACTGGTTTCTGGTTCCCCTCAGCTGTTATTCTCTCATCTAGATCCTGGTCTGACAGGTTACAATTCTTACAATGTCTCATCTTTGGTGACTGCACAGAGGAGCAGCTGGTGAGTCACTCTCGGTTGACAAGTGACCTCTGAAATAGTGTGACTTCAAGTCTAAAGGGTCCAGAGGGACAGTCTCCAATGGTCTGGATTTTTTTTTAACTTTTTTATATTTTATTTTATTAATTTTAATGATGTGTCTGGATTTTGAGAAACCCTTGAATTAGAGTCTGCATCTGTAGTCTGATCCCCAGCAATCTACCCTGAGGAAATCTTTACGCCGGAGTCAGTCTATCCTTCTCCCACAGGTCAGCTGGGGGGTTCCAACTGCTGACTTCCAGCATGTAGTCCACTCTTAACACACAACTCACCAGGGCACCTTCACATTTATATTCACACACACACAAAAAGGAATGAACAACTACCTACACTGACTGTCTTGGAAAAACAAAAAGTATGTTAAGCTGCTTTCTTTTTTTAATATTGATTTTTTTGTTAAGTGGCTTTCTAGCACACATTTTTACAGTGCCTGTATTTTAGTGATAAAGAATTTTAAAAACCTATCTTTGTTAAAAAGCAGAACACTATATTCCATCAGTGCTGTGCAGCGGTAATCTGTTATATGTAGGTTCAAGCTATTAACTCTGTGGCCCTGTGGTCCTCGGCATTCCCCAGCTCCGTTCTTCCAGGAGCTAAGACTTGCTGCCGGAAGTAATAATCTTAAGGATTAACAATGCTTCATCTTCCAGCTGAGGGGGAGTAAGTGTCTGCTGCAGATGACGAAATGTTGGGACATGGATTGTGGTGAGATTAGCACACTTGGTGGATGTGATATCACGGAATTGTGTTTTAAACAATTAGAATGGCAAGTTTCTGTTTTATTATCTTCCCACAATTTTTTTTAAAAAAAAACAAACCAAACAAACTGATCAGAATGTGAACACCTCCTATTTCAAAGCAACAGACGACGTACTCCCCACCCAAATGAAGTCAGGAGAAGAGAGGATCCCACCAGGAATCCTGGGCTCAGGGGGGCAGGTCTGCCTATGCTGGGGGAAAACGAGCGGTGTCCTGTGAAAGACAGCGACACCTTAGGCAGTGGGCAAAATTCAGGGCTAGGCCCGGCAGGCCAGGAGGGACCCAGTGACAGACACAGCTTTTTGAGGCACCTGACCCCAACCACCAAAGCTTCTCCCATTGTGGTAACCAGACGCTGCTTAGCAGACAAGGCTGACGCAGGCAGAAAGGCCCTTGAGGAATCTGAAGCCTCAGGATATAGTCAAGTAAAAGGACAAGGGCGGTGGACAGGGTGGATTCCAGAGCCTGTAACTGCATGCACTCTGGGCAACTAGTTTAACATGCAAACAAACCTCTAACCAAAAGGGGGGAAGTGGGAACTGGGGGCTCATGTAAAGATAATCAACAATTGGCCCTGGTTTTTTAGAAAAGGAAAACATACACTTTCCAAAAACTGGGGCTCAGCTCGGCGCTGTGGTCAGGGCAGGTTTACCTCTTACCTGGGTATGGTCTGTATGATGAAAATGTCCTGGCCACGCACTGATTCTTTTATTTCAACTCTTGTCTCTGAAAAACAAAATGTTATCAAGTTTTCGGAAAAGCACTTTTATGATGCAGTAATTAGATAATACTTTCTTTTAGGGGGAAGTAAAAAGCAATTTAAAATATCACCTCACTTGATACATGAAAATAAATTACATTTTAAAAATACCTCAAGAAAGACCCCGTCCTGTGGGGTCAGAAGGAGTCCAGAACAGAGCCAACTGGCACTGCCAGGTTTCCAGATCTGCGATCTTCACAGACGCCAATCAGCACAGCTTTCTCTGAGAAGCAGCTGGTGAGTCTGCACCACTAACCTTTCGGTTTGCAGCTAACCACCTAGCCAGTGCACTGCACCACCAGAGAGTTCAGAACTGTAACGCACTTATTAACAAGCAGGATAGCGGGGAGCTCTGGCGGCCTCGTGGCAAGAAGCTCCCCCAGATGCTCTGCTGGAGAAGGAGGAGCAATCTCCCGTGCCAGTCGGATGTGATTTCACGATACACAAAATAGAAAAAAAAACCCCAAGCTCTGGTGGCTCAGTGGTAAGAACTGCACTTCCAACACAAGGGGTGGTTGTTATGTGTCACTGAGTCACATGCAACTCATAGTGACCAGAGGTACAACAGCACTGAACCCTGCCCTGTCCTGGGCCAGTCTGTCTCCAACACACCTACCCCCGTTACCCCAGTCACTGAGTCAATCCATCTCATGCACGGTCTTCCTTTCTCGCACTGCCCCTCCACCTTTCCAAGCATGAGCATCTAAAGAGGCTCTGGCAGCTTACTGGTAAGGATTGTACTGCGAGTGCAAAGGTATGTGGTTTGGATCCACCACCTGCTCCACGGGAGAAAGATGGGCAACATCCTCCCGTGCTATTCACACCTCCGAAAACCAGGTGGAAAGTCTGCTATGAGTTGGTTCTGACCTGATGGGACTCAACAACCACCATGTTATGCAGTGTTTTGTGAACTCTAGGGTTTTTAATTTTTTATTTATATTGATTTACATACAAAGTTCGTATATATCGTTTTTTACACCAAACTCTAGTTTTTTAGTGGGGCATAGTACTCCGCTGTGTAACCACACCAGTCCCGGTTATTTGTCTTTTGCTAGGCATTGGGGTCGTTTCCATCTCTTTGCTATTGTAAGTAATGCTGCAATCACATGGGTGTACAAGTATCTATTTGTGTGGCATCTCTTATTTCTCTGAGATGTAAACCTAGCAGTGGGATTGTCAGCAAATGGTATTTTTATTTCCCACTTTTGGGGAAGCAGTAAGGCTGCCAATCTCAAAAGGAGCAGACATCAACATCTTTCTCCTATGGAGCAGCTGGTGGGTTCAAACTGCCCACCTTCTGGTTTGCAGCTCAAAATCTTAAACACGGCAGCATCAAAGAAAGCCCATCACTAAAATAAGGAACAAATCAGACAAGAGGGGGAAAGGCTACAGCACATAAAGAGGCAAAGGCTGACAGACACCTTATTCTCTAAATAAACTCAGAGCGACTCCTCTGTCCCAGGTCCACGCTGGGCTCCCAGAGCCAATGCTGGGCCAAGGGGGCAGTACCACACCAAACCCACAAACAACCCGTTCAGGCCCTAGGATCCCAAAACGGTGTAGCCACAAGGAAGGAGAATAAGGAGGCCAGGAGACAGCACCTCAAGGCCAGCTTGATCATGCAGGGACGACGGGAACATGCAAAGATACAGGGCGGAGTCTACGGAGCAGAGAGACAGTCAACGTGTCCGGAAACTGCTCAAGAGCAAAGTGTAATAAGGGCAAAGAGGCAGGAGGTCAGGGAGCCAACAGGGCTGGAGACGCAAGAGTCCAGGCTTCATTCCAAGTGGGACAGGGGCATGACAGGAGGAGCTGAGGGGTGGGGAGGACGAATCTACATGTATTCACAGACCTCTGACAGCTGTGACGTAAGAGGGAGATGCTTGTTTCCCAGGGAGTCCAGCGAGCAGGAATGTAGGCTGGATGGATCAGGGTGGCAGCTGGGGAGGCAACTTCCAGGCAAACAATAAACTGGGCTATAAAGGTGAACAATAACACCAAAGAGGCACCACTCCTTGGAACAATCAACCACACAAGAACATTAAGGGCTGCGACTGCCCAAGGATAAAGCTTACAAGACAAGAAGGGAGAGGAAAGGATGACTGGAAATGAGAATCACAGGGAAGAAGTGGGAGGTGTGCTGTCGCAATGTGGGGATTGTAATCAGTGTCATGAAACTTGTTGTTGCTGGGTGTAATCAGGTTCAGTATGAGTCAAAGCGACCCCAGGAACAGATGATCTGAACTCAGCTCTATCCTGTGCCATTCTTATTATCTCTGACACCCTTGAGCCCACAGCTGCAGTGACTATGTCAATCCCTCTCACTGAGGGTCTTCTCTTTCACTAACCCTCCACCGTTCTAAGCATGATATTCTTTCCAAGGAATAGCCTCTCCTAGAAACATGCCCAGAGTATGTGAGACGAAGCTTTATCACCTTTGCCTCAAAGACACATCCTGGTTGCACTTTCTCCAAGACATACATATAGGCAATACATGAGATGTTCAGTTCTCGCCTCCAAAGCCACAGCTCAAAGGCATCAATTCTTCCTGTCTTCCTCATTCACTGTCCAGCTCTCAGATGCACAGCAGGTGACTGAGAAGAACACGGCTTGAAAAGGTCATGAAATGTTAGGTGCTGTCATGTCCAGGACACTCTCAGTGACCCTATGGACAACAGATCTGAAGCCTGTCCTATCCTCATAATCTCAGGCACACTCTAGCTGGTTGCTGCAGGATGTATAAACTGATGAACAAAAACCCCAATATGTTCTCCACGCTTCCAATAAAAAACAGAATAAAAAGTTTTACAAATTTTGTGATAAAAAAAGAGACTGTTTAGTACATCATTACATATGATAACCCACTGAGAGTTTTTCACTTTGGAAAAATCACATCGTGCGCGGAAGGGTGGAGGAGGGACAGCGCAGGAGAGGAAGACCCTGGACGGGATCTGGATGAGATGAACTGACACTGCAAGTGGGGTAATGAGGACAGGTGTGGGAGGCGGTGAGATTGGCTCGGGATAGGGCAGGGTTCAGAGCCACTCTCCACACGGTCACGATGAGTCACAGCCAACTCCATAGCACACAATAACCCACTGAGGTAGATAAAAACCTCAGAGTAGAAGAGAGAATTTATTCCATAAACTTGCATGTTCATTCTAAATAAGGCAGCTCTTTCCCTCATTTTGGAGAAAGGAAAGGAGCCCTTGACAGGAGACCAAAGACATCAAGCTTTGAAGGGAAGTGTGGAATGTCCGGCATTAAAGGGAATGTTTGTGCTGTAAGAGTAACACCTGCCTTTTAAGAATATTACAGGTCAGGGAGCTCTGGTGGCCTAGTGGCAAGACACTGCACTGCAATCCCAGAGGTATGCGGTTCAAATCCACCAGATGCTCTGCTGGAGAAGGAGGGGCAATCTCCTCCTGTACCAGTCAGATCTGATTTGACGGTACATGTAAAAATAATACAATTTAAAAAAAAAAAGATTACAGGTCAATGGATTCTTAGATAAGTTCACAAGCAGAGACAATAAAAAGAATAAATAAATGAGACTGCAACAAAATCTAAAACTTCTATAGGAAGATCATTAATGAGAAAATGCAGACTACCTACAAAACAAGGATAAAAATTAGGAAATCATGTGATGAATGAACTGTGTTCCCCACGATGTGGTATGAATCCTGACCACACATCCAGAGGCTCTGGGGAGAAGCTCGGGAGATCTGCTTCCAGAAAGAGCAGCGGAGACAGCACCTCGGGCGGCCTGCTCGGTCACTGTGGAGTGGCTGCAAATGGGGCAGAAGTGGGCACCTATCAACAGCACACAGCAGGGGAGGGGGAGAAGGAATCCCTGTGGGAATAGGGTTTCTGTATGCCGCTGCTGAGGCGCCATCAGGGTTGTTGTTGTTATGTGCCATCGAGTCATTTGCGACTCATAGCGACCCTATGTACAACAGCCCTAAACTCCACTCTGTCCTGTGTCAATCGCACTGTCTCTGACACTCCCATCCCAATTATCCCAGTCACTGAATCAATCCACCTCATAGAGGGCCTTCCTCTCCTGCGCTGTCCCTCTACCCTACCAAGCATGACGTCCCTCTCCAAGGACCTGTCTCTCCTCACAACATGTCCAAAGTATGTCAGACGAAGCCCCAGAATCCTTGCCTCCAAGGAGCAGCCTGGTTTAACCCTCTCCAGGATGAATCTGTTTGTTTTCTTGGCAGTCCAGGGTACATTCAATACCCTTCTCCAGCACCACAGCTCAAAGGCATCAATTCTCCTTCTATCCTCCCTAGTCACTGTCCAACTCTGATGCATAACAAGTGACTGCAAAGACCATGGCCTGTATCAGGCGCACCTTAGTCTCCAGAGAGACACCGTTGCTTGTGAGTACTTTAGAGAGGTCCCTAACCGCAGACTTTTCCATCGCAATACGTTTTTTTGATTTCCTGGCTGCTGGTGCCAAGAGTGCTGACCGTGGAGCCGAGCAAACTGACGCTATGAACAAATCTCAATCTCTTCGCCATCCATCCTGAGGCCATCAGGGTGGGGTATGTCTAAAACATCCACTCCTGAGATCCAGAAGAGCAGTTCCAATACCCAGCAAAGAAAAAGCCAAAAGCCAGGGAAGGTAAAGCCTTCAGAGGCAGACCAGTCTCGAACCCAAGAACCCCGAGAATGATCAGCTAGAGAAACTGAGGCAAGGATTCCCCCATAAACTGGCAACCTGGATTCAGATTTGTAGCCTCCTAAACTATGACAGTCTGCATGTAACAGCAGGACAATAAGGAAGGTGGCAAAAATGACCCCTTTCAATCTTCACGTTAGGGAAGAATTTACTGAACGTGCCATGTTGTTCTTAGCACTGTGGTCTGGACTGTGACAAGAATGAACACATTTGTCTTGGGAGAAGTGTGCTCCTTCGAAGAAAGATGACAACATCCCCACCACCACCACAATCCCAAACCAACGCCTTTCTCTTCCTGCAGAAGACCCAATGCTTGTTCTGTTTCTCAGACAGCTGATCTGTCCTTAATAAACTTTTCTTTCCTCACTTTAAAAAAGAAAAAAAAAGCACAGACGGCAAGACGTTGCCTCATATTTGTTGGGCATGTTATCAGGAGGGATCAGACCCTGGAGAAGACGTCACGCTTAGAAAAGCAGAAAGCCTCAGTAAGATGGGCTGACAGAGTAACTGCGGCTCTGCTCCAATCCAGCAGAGATGTGAGGACATGCTTGGTCGGGCAGGGTTCTGTCCCGCTGGACACGTAGCTGTCATGGGTCAAGGCTGACTTGACAAGACTTAACAACAAACTCTGAGAAAATAAAGTAATCCATTTATGGTATCTGTTCTAGCAGCGCTAAGAAACTAAGACATTCACCTGCTAAGGACCTGCTGTTGTTGGGCACCTCTGCATCCCAGATGACTCAGGGATCCTGTGAAGGACAGATCTGAACCGTGACCATCACGCACCAAGCTCGCCACCTCTGAAACAGTCAAGTCCACTGATACAGTCACCGTGTCATTCTGTTGGGGTCCTCTCCTCTTCTGACTATTCTAAGGCCATTGAGAGTACCCAGTATATATAGAAAATAAGACCATTAACAAAAATACCAGAGTTTTAAAAATGGGTAGAGGATCTGAACTCACAAATGGCCTTACAGACACATGAAAAAGATCAGTAGGGAGACGTAATGAAAGACCCACAGTGAGACGCCAGTGTGGACCCACCAGGAGGGCCACTGCTAGAGCATCAGTAAACACCAGGTTCTGGCCAGGAAAGGACGTAGAGGAATCAGGATGCCTGCACCCCTGTCGGTGGGAAAATAAAACAACACAGCTGCTTTGGAAACAGCTCCCAAGTCCGCAAAAAGATAAACATGTGACCCAGCAATTCCACTCCTGAGGGTACATCCCAAAGAGCTGAAAACAGGTGTTCAAACGGCACTGCGCCCGTTCAAGGGCAGCACTGTTCACAAGAGGCAAAGGCAGAAACCACCCCAACGTCCACCAACAGATGAACGGAGAAGCAAAGTGCAACATCTCCACATAACGGAACGACCCTGTGAACAAAAGACCTGACGCCTTTTGATATCTATCGTCAATTCTCAAGGTTCACAGCCGTCACAAAACGGAAAGCGGTGCCAACACATATGACAGGGATGACCCTGCACAAGGGACTCCCGGGGAAAGCCAGTGACCCGAGGCAGCCAGGCCTGGGAGGGAAAAAGTCACTGCACAGCGGGTACTGAGCTACCGGGAGGGAGTAAGAAAGACCTGGGGATACAAGGTGGTGCCGGCTGCACAGCATCGTGACCGTAAGTGACCATCGACGAGTGGTCCATTTAGAGGGAGTTGACATGGCACATTGTGTATGTAATAGATACAGAATTAAGTTATACAAGCGTTCAGGTCTTTTGTTCACAGAGTCACTATGAGCTATCTACGACTCGATGGCACTTAACAACAACAACATATACTGAATTATTTGTTACGAATAATTGTTATACATAATTATTTGTCAAGTCAGAACCAACTCACAGCTGACCCTCTATAGGGTTTCAGAAGCAGTAAACCTCGTGAGTGGTGACTGTCCATCTTTCTCCTGAGGAGCAGCTGGTGGATTCGAACCATGTACCCCTGGGTTTCCAGCACAATTCCTTACCAGTAAGCCACCAAAGCTCCCTATATACACAGCATACACATAAATATTATATATTACATATTAGGTGTTATATGTCATAAATTCTGTATGAGAAGATTGTATACATTATACTGCATATCATATACAAAATATGTGTAATATGTAGTGTATGTGAATTACATACAAGAAACTTAAAAACATCAAACTACCAGCTGATTAAATGTAACAAAGACTGAAGAATGTCAACTTACCTCCATTGGTTTCCTGGTACACAACAGACTTTCCTAATTCAGCACCAAGACGCCTGCAAGCAGGAAGGGGAAGAAGGAGGCAATCAATCATTAATCTCCTTTTTAAACTTTCACTCAAATCACACTGAAAAAAGAGAAAACTTTGTGGAGCACAGCTCTACCCTGACATGGGCTGCCATGAAGTGGAACTGGGGATGGGAAATTCCAAGACCTAAAAGCTTGCGTCCAACAGAAAGACTAAATTCTCCGACAGGCCTGGGTCTTCACTAAAGCTTCAATTCATCAAGGCCTGGGGGTCCGTGGTCTTACCATTTTGTAATCAGACACTGCATGACTGCTGAGCCCACAACCAGTCTGACGTCAAGGCCATTGCTTAGTGCCTGGCAGTGATGGCTTTAGAAACTCGCCCCCACCAAAGGTCACCAGCAGCTAGTCCACACACAAGTCAGGAATCAAGGAATGACCAGCAGAAGCAAGGAAATTAACCCAGACTCCAGTGACACCAATCAGGCCCTTGTAAGGATCCTGATTAGAAGAAAACACCAACTGCAAAAAGCCACGTGTGAGACAAGCTGAGACATGTGAACGACCAGAGAGCGAATTTACCTTTAAAACATTGTAGTGAAAAATGGGAGCTCTGGTGGTTTAGGGGCAAGAAGCTGCACTGTAATCCCAAAGGCACGCTGTTTGAGGCCACCCCAACCAACAGTACTCAACAATCAGTGTAAAAAATGTCTGCTACCAAGAGTCCTGCAGGTATAGCAGGCTAGGTGTTGGGCTAAGCTCAAGGTCACTGGTTTGCAGCAGGTGGGATGAAGAGAGACTGTCATGACCAGGACAGCCTTGGAAAGCCTGTGGCACCGTTCTATTCTGCCCTGTTGGATCACTGAGTGTCAGAATTGTCAGGCAGTGAGTGAAATGCTATGTCAGAGAGGAAATCTTAAATACTCAAGTCTTACTTTCATAAGGGGCAAAGTAAGAGGAGCAGATGGACCACTATTAGCAAAATGTTGTTCAATGTGAAAGGGTGAGAATCCTATGGCCTTAACCACAACCCTCACACACTCATCCTGTGAACACATATCCCAGGAAAGCAGACACCTAAGTGTTTTCCTGATCAGAGTTCATCAGCCCAAAAGTTTGATGCTTCTTGCTCCCAGAGTCCACCTGTAAGGAACAATCTGGCCAGCCCTGGGGGTCATCTAACCTGTGGTCTGCAACCTGTTAAGCAGCAAAACTTCAAGCTAAACACATACACTGAGAAGCTCAATACAAGGAAACAGGTCAATTAAGTCTTTACAAATGCTTGTTAGCAGCAACAATGTAAAACCTTTCAAAACATTTGTTTCTCTTGGCAAGGTCAGCATGGAGCAAACACACAAGCTTGGTATGTAACGTTCTCTCAGCTGGCCTCAAGAAGATAACAAATAATCAGGGACTGGAAACAGAAATTAGGCAGTGGACTGCAGAACTTCAGAAAGAGAATTCTTTAATCTTCCAATCTCAAAATTCCAACCAAAAGAAAACGTAACAGAAATTTCTTCCCAGGACATAACCCTCTAGAATGTAAAACTACAGTCAAGTACTTAATTAAAACATCTGGAAAACTCACTGTATCTAAACACAAAGTAAGCTTCAAATTTTGGAAGACAAGCTTTTCTATTCCTAGCAGGTTTAACAGAAGACTCAGAGGCTTCCCCCTTCTCATTAGCACTTGGGGATCCTCCAGTACAAGATAGAATGAAGCAGTCACTTAGTAAACAGATGATACTCAGAGGCCACTATGAGGCCTTGTTCAGACAATTCTTCATCTACATCTCCAGTCTCCCCGCCAGACAGAGCCATTCACTTTATGAATTCTTTGCATCTTTTAAAATTAGCTGTTCTCTGCTTTGTCCCATAAAGGTTTTACATACGGTACATGACAACACTCCCTCCTCTAATTTGTGAAGTTTTTTAGCAAGAATCCATGTGGAAAAAGGTTTCCCTGTTACAATTTGATGACTAATAGGTGAGATGACCCCTGAGGCTATGGAGGACAAGGAATCCTAGAGGCAGTGGAACTTAAAATTTAGGCTGACTGAAAAGCTCAGCGGTAAGGAACTGCATTGCCAATACAAAGGTATTAGGTTTGAATCCACCAGCTGCTCTGCAGAAGGATGGGCACTCCTCCCCCCCAATTTACTTCCTCTGAAAACCCACTGGAGGGTCAGCTATGGGTCAGTTCCGACTCAATGGTACATAACAACAGAACATTCAAAAGGTCAGCAGTTTGAATCCACAAGTGGGTCTGCCAGAGCAACATGTGGCAGTCGGCCTCCAAGAGTAAGCTCACAAACCCTACAGCTTTATTCTCCCCCAAAGGGCTGCTAGGAGCTGGAATCAATGCCATGGCACTGGGTTTGGCTTTAGCGTGACATTCTGGATACAGGACACTTGCCCAGTGTCGCAGAGACAGGCAGCAAAGCTGCTTGAGGCCGCAAACTCCTTCAGAACAGGCTGTCCAGCCGATTTTCCAAAGCTGCATGTAAAACACCTGGGAGGGGACTGGCCATCCTTCCAAGCACGGGAGGGGGGGGGGGCTTTGAGTCCACAGCACAACTCCCAATGGAAGAGGCCACCAAAACTCCCGCGTCAGACCCCACACAGCGAAGCCAAGCTTTAACTGTCCCAAGAATCACTTCCTGCTCACAGCAACCCCGTGGGAATCAGGGTAGACCAAAAAGGAAGCAGACAGCCAGGCCTTTCTTCTGACGTACACGTGGTCCAGCAGTCCGGGGTATAAACATCCGTCACCTGCAGCTCGTTCACAGAACTCGCCCTGCGTGGAAGGGGCTACAAGACTTGATTAGGCCTATCAAGCCTCATTCTGGTTAATCAGCTCCTTGGGGGGGGGGTGGCCCTTCTTTACGTCTCACCGCCTCCCTTCGCACTGGCCACGTGGACAGAGGGTCTCCCATCTGGAAGGCTCTCCTGCCGCCCCCACTCACAACAGTGGCCAGGCAGGTCTTCTAAGTGACCACGACATCCTGCACCCGTCCCGATAAACCAGACTTGAGGATCCATAAAATGGGGCCAGTGCAACCCAGCAAACGCCCCTCTGCCCCAGACATTCACTCCGGGGTCCCCCGATGCGTTCCCCACCCAATGCTCAGCGCCTAGGTGGGGGGGACGGAGGTGATCAGTGAGAACCGAGAGTCCCCTACAAGTTCTCGGCCGCAAAGCTGGGGGCGGGGCCGGGGTGAAAGGGCATGACCCTGCGACCCCTCTCCCGGCGCCAGCGGGCCCGGGGCGCCCACCCTGCCAGCCCCGCTCACTCGGTGATGCGCTTGGCCAGCTCGGTGCAGGCGGCCGTGGAGTTGGCCGAGAAGACTCGGTAGCCGGTGCGCGCGGCGTTCATGGCGGGCCAGGCGGCGGGGCGGGCTCGCGGGGCCCGGAAGGCAGAGGACGCGGACAGCGGCGGCAGCAGCAACAGCTTCTTGGGCATCGCCGGCCCGAGGGGCGGTTCCAGCCGGCCCGCGTGGGGCGGCACCGGGACGGCGCGGAGCGGGCAGCGAGGCCCGCGTCCCGTGGGGAAGGACGCTCGGAAGGTCGGCCCTGCACCGAGAGCTCACGCGCCCGTCTCCCCGGCGGCCGCCGCCGTACCTCCACGCTCGAAGCGGACCCGCACGCACCGCCGAGCAAGGGCCGTCCAGCCGCTGCCACCGCCCCCTCCGGAACTTCCGGCACTCGAGGGCGCCGCCTAGAGCGTCCGCAGGGCGGCCATCTTAAATGAGGGCAAGGAGGTGGGCCGCTCGCAAAAGGCAGTTAGTTCTTCCTAGAGCTGGATCGTAGGATCTCCCAGATGCCAGCTTCTTCCGCTCCCATGGGTTTACTTTGTCCTTCCGTTTCTTGGGCGATGGATTTTGACTTAGGAAAAGTCTCAATTGCTTCAAACTTTTCTGCCAACACGTAAGATGTCGGCCGCCGAGGCGACTGGGCGCTCTAGCCACGCACTTCGATGCTAACATGGCACGTGCGGTCTGTGAGGCGCATGCGTGCACCTGAGTTTTGCCGTGTGTGTGTGTGTGTGTGTGTGTGTGTGTGTGTGTGTTTGTTTGTTTTAAAGTGGAGGGCGGCGTTATTTTTGCTAGTTTCTTGCAATGCTGAAATTACCGAGATTTTGCTCCAGATCCTTAGCTTGGAGACTGCGTTCCCATGGACCTAAATCTTGTGGCGGAAGCTCTCCAGCCGGTCTTTGTTCTCGAAGTTTCTCTGTCCTTCCTTGTGCCCACCCGCCATCCCTCAAGAATTCTCAAATCGCATGTGCTTCCGGAAGGTTTATTTTTTTTTTTCCTCCCCATAAATCAACCCCCTTTGCCATTCTGAGTGCAGTAGCCAGTGTTTTCATTTAACTTTGTACACATCTGTGTACCCAGCTAGGATGCAAGGATCGTGCATTGCGTCTTAGTTGCTGTCTTGTCGACTTCCTGGCAACTCTCAACAACCTTTGCCAGCAGGGACCATTTTTATAATCATTGATTTATTTGGGCTCATTTTTAACATTTTGTGGTGCAGTAGTCTGAGTCATAGAGTTTTCCCTGGCTTATTTTCAGAAGTGCATTGCTAAACCTTTCCTGCATTAGTCTGGTCACTGCTGAAACCTGCTCACCTGGGGTGACCTTGCTAGAGCCATAGTTTGCCTACATGTGAGCAGCATTTACACCACCACATGACAACAACGTGACACAGTTCTGTGGAATGCTCAGACTAAAAAGTCTATCAATAAAGGCCTGACAATCTCCTGAAAAGCAGCCCAGGACAGTCCTGCGATCACAGCGGAACGTTGTTGCATACATGGTCACTCAGAGATGGACTAGGAAGCATTTTATTGTTGGGTGAGATCAGCATTAGTTTAGGGAGGGTTTGAGGGCAAGCTACCATCAAAAGAGATTCCAGTGGTGCTGTGGTAAAAACACTCAGCTGCTTACCAAAATGTTGGTGCTGGGGGAACAAAATGTACAATGAAAAATAATTTTTTTCTATAAAAACCATAAAACATTGCTTCGGGTCTGCCAGCTGCTGCTTCTTAAGGAGTAACAGTCTTCCCGTCACGGATTTGCAGCTTTGGGAATAACCTGGGCACTTCTGTTCTGACTTACAGGGTCGCTATGAGCTGTAAGTGACTAAATGCCAGTTAATGGGCTTTTCTTTTGTTTTAACAACAGAGCAGCATTGTGTGTTCCAGAGGTACAAAATCAATACCCGCTGAATAAGAGCCAGGAAAAAAGAAAAGCCTTTGAAATACTAATTATCAGCTGTCCCAGGATGTGGAGACCATGCCTCCACATCTATACTCTCTTCAAAGAATGTCCCTTAGAAACTTCTGTGACATTGGGCCAGAAAGCGCATATGAAGATCACAATTTATAAAGCCTCTAATTCCTCATAGAGAAAAGACTGAAGCTGTCAATTATTTTGTTTGACTTCCACAGTAGCAGCAGTCAAGAGTGTGCTGAATTGGATCAATTTACTGTCAAGGACCTTGCCAAACAAAGTGCTGAAGAGCAAGGATGTCAGTTTAAAGACTGAGGTGTGCCAGATCCAAGCCATGGTTTATTCAGTTGTTCCTGTGCATCTGAAATTGGAGCAATGAATCAGGACAACCAAAGGAGGATCAGTGTCTTTGAATCGCAGTGTTGAAGAAGAGTGTTGACTATCCCATGGACTGCCAAAAGAACTAACACATCTGTCTTGGAGGAAGTGTAACCAGAGCCCTCCTTAGAGGCAAGGATGATCTCATATACTTCTGACGTGTTACCAAGAGGGGCCAGTCCTTGGGAAAAGACACCATACCAGGAAAGGCAGAGGGTCAGTGAAAGAGAGGACTCTGTGTTGCAGACCGAGGGTCCCAAAGACTAGAATAATTTTATAATTATTAATAAAGAGACAAACAGCCAGGAATGAGATAGAGCAGAGAGCATAAAACAGGGGGTCAGCAGTTCTCGACTGAAGACCTCAAGCCATGCTTCTCTGAGTATTTATTGAGAATCATAAGATAATAAAAGTAAAATCACAAGGAAGTACAAAACAAAGGATAATGGTGAAGTTTTTTTACAAATAAGGCCAATTTCCTCTTTATGTTAATCTCAAGAGGGAGGGGTTCATTTGACACAAACTAAGAACAATGTTAACTCCTAGGGAACGCCCCATTGCCACAAGGTGGCCTTCAGTTTGTATCAAGCTTCCCTCATTTCCCGAAACAGCATTTGGTTACTATTATTAAATTTGATATTCGGCTTCCCTCAACTCTGCCCAAGAAGGATCAACACAGTGACTGTAACAACGGGTGAGCGAATCAGAGATGGGAGGATGGTGCAGGACAAGGAAGGGCCAGATCTATTGTTCACAGGGTCACAATGAGCGTTAGTCGACTAGATGGCACCTCAAGCATAAAGTGAGCAATAATTCCAGAGAGAAACACGTTCCTTAGAGCAGTGAACCTAATGAGACAAAAAAGGCAGGCTTTTCCCAGAGGTAAAGCTCAGAAGAAAGGGCTAGGAAAGAAGGATGCATGGAAACAGGAAATAAATACAGGGAGGAAGTCGGAAGAAAGGTATTAATGTCAAGACACATGATACGTATGAATTAGTGAGTGGAAAATCTAATCCGTAAATTTTCCCTCAAATCACAACACAAAGTTAAAAAAAAAGTCAGCCAGCGACTGGGAAAGAATTTGTTCAAGGTTTTTTTAGAAACTTTGTTTCTATTACCATTCATACACATCACATTGTGTGTCACACAATCCTACATTTACATTGTATTTCTTTAATTTGTTCAAGATTTTTGCAGTCTGTCCTCTCCTGGGATTTCTTGCTCAAGTTCTAGTTACATGGAGGCCCAAACTCAGCTTCTGTCAAAAATTTCACAGCTAGATTAATAGGCAACATCATAATAGATGGAAAAATGATTGAAGTTGTCAATTATTTTCTTTTTCTTGGATCCACAGCCAATACCTATGGGTCACAGTAGTCAAAAAAGGAAAAAGAAAAAAAAAGACTTACTGCACTGGGCAAATCTGAAGTCAACACTCCGTTAAAGAACAAAGAGGTTAGCTTGAGCTCTAGGGTGTGCCTGGTCCAAGCCATGACTCCACTTCTTCATATGCATATGAAAGCAGAACCATGAATAAAGGAAGGCTGACAAGACTTGAGGTCTTTGAATTATGGTGTCAGAAGGGAGTATGGAACAGACTGCTCGAACAAACACTTCTCTCTGAGAGGAAGCGTTACAAGGAAAAGCTGAAGGAATAGAGAGAGGAAAGATGGGGAAGTTTCACCTCACATACATTACGTTGGGCAGGTGGGGAGGAGGCTGCAGTCCTTAGAAAAAGACATCAAAGGGAGTTCTGGTAGCCTAGTGGCAAAAAAGCTGCACTGCAATTCCAAAGGTGGGCAGTTCAAGTCCACTAGATGGATGCTCTGCTGCAGAAGGAGGAGCAATCTTCTGTGCGAGTCTAATCTGATTTGATGGTACACAAGGGGGAAAAAAAGAAGAAAAGGAAATCGTTCTGGGAAAAGTAGAAGGTCAGGAAGAGAGGGAGTCCCTCAGGAGGGGGACTGACACAGTGACCGGACTGAGCATGTTAGGACTGTGAGGATGGATCAGCAGAGGACAAGGTCCTGGTCTCTTGTTCATAGGGTCGCTGTGAGTTGTCATCAACTCAATGACACCTAACAAACACAGTAACTTTTAAAATCCAGGCTTGTCCTTGGAGCTGTGGACCTACTGGGCCAGATTCTCAAGAACAAACTCAGTGTCACTGTCCAGCTACAACACAATTTTAGTTTCCAATTTTTTTTTAAATGATCCTGTTGTTAAAGGGCTGCCGGCTCAGCATGAATTCTAGAAATATGATCACCTCTGTCCTGAAAAACGGGACAGGAAGAATGGCACAAGTTGAAATGTAACACGAAGTTTTGGCCAAGAAAGGGAAGGACGAGACAGGGATGTTGTGTTAAGGACTATATTGTGGTTCCCACAAATCTATTTCATAAATCCTGGACTCTGTGCCTGAGGGCCTAATTCCTTCTGGAGGTTAATGGTCTTTGTTATATTTATGAACAGGATTAATGTAGGGTGTGTCTTGTAAAAAGAGTCAGAGAGGCTTGGGCCCACCCCATCCCTGACCTGATCTTACTCCAGAAAGGGGAACTGTCCCCATCAAGAACATCCCCAATAAAAAACAAATTCCCGTGAAGACAAACATGCCCCTCACACTCCAGCACCCACTTTTACTAATTCCAACAAGACACAACATCCTTTACAATACAGCTACATAGACCCCACAGACCCATCCTCACTAAATGGGGTTTATTAAGGATGGTCACAGGTTATAAGTCAGGTTGGCAGCAGGATACAGTTTCTCAATCAGAACAGCTACTGCTTCTTTTTTATTCAATTTTTCATTTTTTTTTATTTTTTGTACCGTCAAATCAGATCTGACTGA